CGTTATTCGTCCTTTGCTTTAGTTAATCCTGATGATAACAAATACTAACATTGTCGAAAGCTCAAAAGAAACTTGTAATTTTCGCTGAAATTACAAAATGTTCCTTACTGCAATTTCAGATTGATGTATTTGTTAATTGATTCTTACTAGGTTATTTCCCGATTATTGGCAAAATCTCTTTGACAGAACCAGACAAATTATCTTGTTCAACAGATTAAGTCAGTTCTTCCTCAAATGCTCTATAAGATGTCTGTGACTTTATTTTCTTCCGTTTAACCAAGCGTTTTCTGAAAATACCTTTCTGTTGTCTGGTCTGTCCTGAAACGAAAGCAAAATAAATGCGGTAACTTCGGATTTAAATCCGAGAGTTATGTGTACTTCAAAAAGTGAATCAAAAGAATCAGCTATACTAGAATGTGTGGACATCAAAGTTATACTGGGCAACCCACCTTCTAAACTGTTGATTTATATTGGATATTGCTTCAGTAATAGAATTTCACAATGAATACAGCTCAGATTTAGACTCTTTGCCTTGATTTACTATAGAAAAGCCATTTTTCCTATAATTCGATTCCTATTGGTCAGTGCTCAGCCAATGGGGCATCGAAACAACTGGAATACAGCCCCGGGTTCACCGGGCAAAAAACCTCGAATTCTCACCTCCGTGATCATAAGATAGAACCCTAATTCTGGATCGATTAGAGCGCACATCAAAACACAACTGCTGTCCGTTTATTTCTCTTTGCAATAGGTGACCTAGCATTCTTGTGTCCTTATGTTTTATATACCATTTTGTAGCTCTTGAAATTCTCTATCGAATGGTATATAATATTTGGGGATTTGGTTGACTATGATAGGGAAAGTGTTTGCCGAAAGTGGGGATAGGTCGATTTTCCTATAGGAAGCCATAGGGAAAAATCAGTATTTTTGCAATAACTCAGGAATGGCTCGGCCGATCCTGCTCACCTTCGAACTCGACCGAGATATTGTTGTAAAGACTGAACTGTGTACAAAATTTCATCGTGATCGGACTCTCCTTTCGAAAGTTATCGTGTAAACGGCCGGACGGGCGGACGGTCACACTGACCGATTCTAGAGTGTACTCACTTTTTGAGTAAACAAAAACGTCTGAAAACAAAGTTGTATTGACAACAATGTCAAATAATGATCCCGATCCATCAAATAATTTATTAGCATCCAATACAGAATCTATTGAATTTCATGAAATTATAAATACGGATGAAACAGTTGCAAACTCAACAACACCGGTTGTTGAGAACACAGATTTAGTTCACAATGACAAACCAACGAGCGACTCAACACTAGGTGACCGGAAGTGTTTCATAGTTGACTCGTTCTCAATCTAAGGCTTTAACAATAATTATTTTTGATTTTGTTTCAGGTGTATCAAGGTCATTAGAACTAACACTCTTATCACAAACAACACATAAAACCACCAATGATGATCAATATTTTCTTGATATCGATAAAGTTAGTGTAAAACTTCGTCTAATTGAAAAATTAATTAATTCATGTAAAGATTTAATTAAACAATCAACATCCATCGATGCATGCATTGAAACTTTTACCAAAAATTTTCATCATTTTTCTGGCGCACTTATTCAAGCTGGAAATGATTTAAAACATTGATGTACAAGTATTTTATCAAAAATTGAATTAAATCGAAACAATCAAAATAACCCAACGTGAAGAAGATGAAATGATTAATCGAGATTCAGGTAAAAGCATATCGTCATAATGCAGTTACTGCACTATTTAGTCAATGTACATCTCTCTTTGTAGATTATTATGGACATAAGCACAAGTTCACAGAAAAACAATTACGTTATTTTGTTTCAGTAGGTCCATTTCAAAATAGACTTGATAGATTTCCAAAGAAAAGTTTTAGAAGCAGTTAAAACAACATGTATGATTTCAGTGACATGGTACGATGAATATCCTCATATTGCAGTGGCGGATCCACCATTTGGCGATCCGGCGACCGCCACCCCCTCGCGAGATTATTTTTCTTTTTTTCTAAGCAGAAATCAGAAAAAAAGAGGTTGCATTGCCTCAAATAAACCTTGAAAGCCATTTTCTGATCATAACCGCCACCCCGTCACTGATTTTCTGGATCCGCCACTGTCATATTGAATATAGTGAACTGAAAGAT